ACAACAAGCTTAGAGTCTATTGTGAGGACTGATCTCCTTACATCCCCGTGATGTTAACCAGCACATTTTGTGGTGAAGCCTTGGTGAAACATTACAGTCGAGAGAGTTTTTGTCACTGACTGATAAACGGAGGACGACATGTCTGTCTGACTTTAACAGGACGGCGATTTATAAAACAAACATGTTTCATTTAAAAGGACGAGAAACTGTTTACTCTGGTTATAGAGCAGGATAGCCAATGGCCACTTTCTGACAGACCTCCCTACGGCCACGCAAAACACAGTCGCCCTCTGTTGGAGATGAGAAAGAATGGCTTGGGGCACTTCAGCACAAGCTACGTCCATCTCTTCTATTGTCCATCAGGTGCTCTCAGACTGGGGGTGGATCCATGTAGAATCACAGAACAGGTGGGGATAATCTTACTAATCCACGTTATTTCAATAAGATTATAGAATGGCTCTTTTTTCATACCTGTAATCAGCACTTCCTCCCAGACTGTAAGTATCTGAGTTAAAACCGGACCCAGCCTGCGGAAAAGCGCTGCATTAAGCACAAATTTGGGGAACAACATGTCATCGTTTTGCTGTGTAACCTGTAAGAACCACAGCAGAGAGCTTTGAAATTGATGACGATGGTCAGCTGGATAGGGACGAATCTGCAGGAGGAGACGCAACGCCAGACACATCATGGACACGGCCGCTGAGCATCCCTCCCGTTATTACTCCTGGGTGGAGGAAGCATTTTAATCCTCAAATTGGAATTTCAGGAGGAGTTTTTAATCGATCAAACTGCCACAGTGCTGAACAGACCACAGATCAGTGATTTAAATCTGACCTGTTAATTCTCTGTTAAATCACCTCGATCACCAGGTGTGTGACTTTTAATCCTGCATTTACCCCCTTCATCCCCGTTTAACCTTTAAATCCTCCTCACAGAGCTGCCAATCATCCATCAGAGAGCTCCTCTTCACAACATACTGCAGTTTCTTTACAAGATTAAACAGCACACACACCTGACTGTGTTCTACCTGCAGAATAATGTGCTATGATGCAGCACAGGCGGAAGCTGCAGATAACTCCTGTTTTCTTTATTCAGCCTCTCACGCACAAGCTAAAAGCTTGGTTACAACATTCACACAAAACTGATTTCAGCCCAGCATAACATTACTAAAATGTTTGATGCCATTTTTTTGGATAATAAAATTATGCGTTTAAATGCTTTTCATTAATTAGGTTGCTAAATGCATTCTCTTGAATTGAATTAACATGTTCACAGCCCGATACACAAACTGTGTGTTTTACTAGGGGCGTGGCCTCTAACTGACAGGTGGATGGTGATACAGGTGGATGCTAGCTTCACCTTTACTGGACCTCTGCACCATGTTTGTGCTGTTGGAGCCTTTTGGAGCATTTTAATGGTGTTATCTAACCAATGACAAAGCTGCTGGGAGGTTACTGTACTAACACACCTTCAAAGAAGGCGACGTTTGGGTGCACAGTGAGATTTAAGGATTTTGATTGGATGTTAACGAGCGCTGATTAGCAGGTATCTGTGTCTGTGAATGCAACTTCAACACATAAAAATGGGATCTTACAAACCAATGAATCAACAACTGTCATTTATACAGTGTTTAGCTAATTTTGTACACAAGTCTGTGTGCACACACGAACTGTTCACGATTAACCAAATGTCAAGTCTGTTCTCCATCCCGACCAGTCACCAAGATTTAAAGGCTTATATAGACTACTGTGCTTTTCCTGTTGATGGAGTAAGCTTTCATTTAAAGCAGGCCCGTAAGTAAGATGCAAACAGGAGCTGGTTTTGGTAACAGTGGTGATTTATTTTCCTCTGCATCGACACAATCAGTCTACCATCAGATATCGCAGCAGACACATGATTCATGGAGTTTTTTAGCTCCACGATGACGTGCTTTGACCCTGACGCTGTACAGTAAAACCAATCTACTCAGAGGCTGCAGAGATGAAGGCTATTTGCTCGGCTGCTCGTTCTGCTGCGAGACAAACAACCTGAAACAGCATGTGGAATTGATCTGAATCATTCATTACTGCTGCAGGAGCCAATATAATGTTTCACCAAGAATATAAATAAGACAACAAGCCGAGAGAGAAGAGCAGGCAGCGGCGTGGCCCGAGAGAAAAGCACCACCAATTCATCATTCCTTCCATCCCTGCTCATGCAAGCTTTATTGTATTTGTGTCTGACTCTTATGAGACTGCAGTGAAAAAGCTCAGATTCACCAGAAACCCAGTGCTCTGCACAAACTTTGCCCTCGCACTCGAGTGTTTCAGACATTTCTGTTTGCCACAACTAATATACAAATCAGACAGCTGGCACAAAGCTTGACAACAGGCCGTAAAATTTGCACTTGGCACAAACCTCTGGACAGACGTTGTCTCCCAAGCCAAACATGAAACATTTGGCAATTTCATTCTGTCAGATTATCACCATCAAACTGAAAACACATGTCATTGGAGGCTGATGCTGTTTCCCCATTAACAGGACCGGTCTGTCCATCCTGAAAAACAAAGTGGTACCAGGCATTGGCTATCCCAGGTCCAAGCTAAAGTAAGCCTCAGCTGTCCTACACAGGCAAGGGTAAAATCTGGAGACACCTAGCCTGACTAGTCCCAAAGATAAGGGTCAGGCCTAGGAGAACAGGTTTAAGGTCAGAAAGACCGAACCAAACCGTCCTAGATTCCAGGATAGAGACCAATGGGATACAGCTGCACCAAGAATTTATACCAGTGACCAAGAGAAGTGCGCCTAAAGAGGAAAGGGATGAGTGTTTATTACCCTAAGACTGAGCTTTAGTGACCACAGAGGCCTGGATAAAGACCATGAGCTTCTTTCAAGTTCACGCTAAAAGAAAGTTACTCGACCCAGGATGAAAGTCAGACATGGAGAACTGGACCAGCATCCAGGCTAAAGATCAGCAAAGACCGAACTTCCGGTCCCAGAGTCCCAGACCAAGATCCAGGACTCATGCCAGACCATCCAACATTTTTGACTTCAGATGAGAGGAACAGAGTTATTTTGTTTAACAGTCAGCAGACTGAGCTCTTCCTCAGCTTTACCAGTTAAGGAAGGTTAAGGAACATAACGTTCTCCAGGTTCAAACCAGTTCATCATTCCACAGACAAGAAACGCACGAGTCTGAGGACACGCTAAAAGTATGAGCTTTGCTTTGGTTCACGCCAAAGACCCTGAAGATGAAGCTGATGGAAACTTTGGTTTGTGTTTGTTTTTAAAGGTAATTTTATTGAGTCTATTCAGTCCAATTACAGAAACTTTATTAATATATAAAACTTAACCTGCATTTAACCTCTGACACAAACAACATCAATTCATTTATACATCATTTTTCTTTAAACAAGACGTTCTGTGTCATTCATTGAAAGATTTTACTTGCAGAATTTTAGTGTCCAGTTTAGTGTTTCAAGATAAAGATATACTCAGACTTCCAAAATGAAGACAGGCTTTAAAAGGACAGTTGAAGTCTAGAGGAAACAGCTTTGACCAAAAAAGCTAATCCACCCTAATCCCAGATGAGATGCCAGCTCAGAAAACCCACATCCCATTAAAACCAGAGGTCAGAATGAAAAAGCCGACAGCCCCGTCCGCCCGCCTGCTTCAGACGTAGCAAACCAAACGTACCCAAACCAAAGCGAGGCAAAGACAGCAGAAACCCAGAGAGAGAAAGACCGAGAGGAACTGAGAGCAACAAAAATCACAACAAAAGCATCCAGCGTGTGCTGAAATACGTCACGAACGGGACTGAGGGCCTGCCGGTTCATACATGGCCTGCAAAAACAGAAACAGAAACACACACACACACACACACACAAACAGTGAGATACTGATGTATGTTTACTGAGACAAAAATGAAAACAGACTCAAAAACAGGCTTTCAAATAATTAGTGCTGCAGATCACAGGAAGTAAATTAACATGATCCAAAATGAGACCCAATGCGGTTCAGCAAGAAAAACTACACAATGTGAAATATTCTGTGAGTTAACGTGAGATAAAACAAGTCCAGATTAACTGAGATGTTCAGATATTTGCTGTAATCTCAGTTTTGTTGGAACACATGACACAGACATTCAGACACAGATCCTTGAAAGGAAATCGAGGAGATGATCTGAGATGAAATGAAGCCCGTCAGATATTCAGTGACAGCTGCAGAAACAGATTCTCTGGTAATCGTTCTTCAGACAGACGTGACCTGATTGAGATGAAGCTAAGAGCGTGATGAGTTCCTGCTTCAGCTTTTACCTGAACCTGTTCAGATGCGTGCACGCAGCTAAATCCTCTGCTTCATTGCACTGCTGCTGAAGTGCCTTTGAGCAAACAAGTGGTAGGCAGGACGTAAGCGATCAAACCTTTATCTGGCTGTGACATTCTGACGATAGAGGGAAGTTACCAGGCCTGACCATGCCCCAGCAGTTCCTCTGAGACCCAAGTCCACACAGCATCACGCACAGAGTTCACCCCTTACCTACCCCTCCCCTCAGCCATAGCTCTGTGGTCACATGCTGCCGCTGGCTGATTGGCTGATCTGAGACTGCAAAAGCTCAAAAAAATATGACAAATTCGGTGAGAACACAGATGATTGGGCTTTGACCGGCCACCCAAGGTCAGGTAGTGTGAGCCCTCCAGCACAGGCTGCAGGTGTGCTTGTGTATACAGAGGGTTACCTGTGTGTGTTCAGTGTTATGAAGGCAGTGCAACTGCAGACCTAACCTGCTACAGAGGACAGACATGAAATAACTGCCTGCTGACCAATCAGAAGTCTGAAAGATCCCGGTGAGCATTAATGAGAAATATAGCTCATGATAAACATCCATCTTTAGGAGTGGTTGTAGTTTCCACCCAGTCTTCCCATAGTGCCGACAGGAACTACGTATTTCTCCAAAGCATAGAAAATAAAGACGACTTTTAACCACATCACTGTAACAGATTCTGCTGTGTGTTACTGACCTTTGGCCTCCTCCAAGTCAGAGTTTAGCTCCTTGTCTGAGTAGCTGGGAGGCCTGTAGGGTGGGGGCTGTCTCGGGGGGGGCAGCACTACCTCTGATTTCTGCAAACAAACACATTTTTTCATAAAAACATGGACTCTGTTGACTTCCAGTCAGACTATAGACCATAAGTGTGCAGACGGTTGTGCACGAGCCTCGGGCTGTGTGAGATAGGAGCCTGGAACACACTGAAACCTGGTAAAACTAAATGGCAGCTGTGAGCAAGAAACAATCAGCACCACCACCAATATGACCTCCAACCTTTAGGCTCCGTGCTGCACGGCTCAGTTTAAACTCTGATCTAAGCCCTGCTTGGTCATCTGTAGTAACTGTAGAGGTCGCCTGCAGCGTGTAAAGTCAAACTACTACCACAGCAGACTTTGTGTTGTATAATTCAGTTTTTGTTTTTTCCAGTTTGTCTTTCTCGTGCAGTTTCTGCTGTCGTTTCCTGTATCAGACTTTTGGAGGCTACACTGCCATTAACAAAGAAACACCGGAAGCTCTGAGGACTCGCGTGTAGGGATGGGTATCGTTTAGGTTTTATCCGATACCGGTGCCAAATCGGTACTTTTGAAACGGTGCCGGTGCTTAAACGGTGCTCAAACCGGTGCTTAAAGAATGGAGAACACAAACTTTGTCCAAAAACCTCTCATGTTCAGCTGTTTTTTTTTGTAAAAAGATAACAATGTTAGCCTTTTCTGCAGCTATGGGGCATTTATGGTATCACTCTTGGCTGGAAGCAGTGCTTAAACAATGGAAAAAACACAAACTTTGTCCAAAAACCTCTCATGTTTAACTGTTTCCACTTTTTCTTTGGTCATTTTAGCCTTTTTGGCCAGGGTGAAGGGAGTATCTGCCATCAAACAAGAAGACAGCCGCATGTAGCTATGATGATGTTTGCTAGTTCACCTTACATGCATTAATGTAATAACGTGGTTAGCCTACTCAACGTAAATTACACACGAACAACATTAAGCTACTCACGCAGAGAAGAACGGCTGCTGCTGCCATCATCATCCGTCATCATTTCTGCTACACTGGCAGGGCTAGGGGCCAGGACTCTCATCTTCGGGTTTTTGGGGGATGTTGCTAACTCCGGGTCCGATAACGGCAACCCACCCGCAGTGCACGGTGTGAGGTCTCGCAGCAAGCTATCAAATACGGCGCATTTCTCGGCTTTTAAAAAAAACGCTATGCGTCGCCAGCTGTTTAATCGGATTCTTGGTGTTACCTCCTTTGACAGTATCACAGTATCAGCTTAAAGCACTTGTTGCGGTGCTGAGTTTGCATATTTTGCTGTGAAGTACAGCCAGACTTTTGACCGCTTCGCCTTGGGCATTTTTAATCTGTAGCTCTGCTCTAAAGAACGTACGTACCTGGGCCCGCCTACTATCCTCGAAAGTAAAATGATTGGCTAGAATCAAAGTGTATCACAGCTCAGGAAAAAAAAAGCACCGAAATAAAGCACCGAAATGTGCGCTGCTTTTTCGGTCTGGTTACTACCGTTTATGTCAGAACCGGTGCCATCATGGCACCGGACACCGGTACCCATCCCTACTCGCGTGACTGCATAGCACAATCCTGCGTCGATCACTACATCATGACGTCTGTCTCTGAGCTCTGTCTAATTTCATTCTTTTTATATTTATTAATCAGGCTGCCAGCTTTATTATGGATTCTTTATACTGTCCATCTGTCTCAAAGGCGTTAGATAAAGACTGGAGTATGATGGTGAGTGTGGTTTAAGCATGGCTGAAGCTGAGACTTTGACGTCCTCTCACACTGATCCTCAGACCAGGACCGTGCCCTGTGTGGACGCAGCGCCCGGCTGCAGCTTGAGGACAAACACCATCAAACATCAGATCTTATTTCACACTGAAAGAGCCGATCATTTTGTTTCGTTAGCCCACGTCAGTAAGATGTTTTTATTTTGTCCCATTCTAAGCTGTTTTATGGGATCATATTCAGCTGCTCTCACAGTGTTTTGTTGCATTTCTTACTTATTAAACTCGTCTCTGTTGTTTCTGTCATGTTGTAAATGATTATGTTACAGCTCGTGTCGTCTTCGGCTGCTCTAAGATGGATTTTCCAAATCCTGGGAAAAATAAATTCAGTCTCATCTTATCTGAGTCTCCACAGGCAGCAGATCTAATCTGTTAAATGTGATTTATGAGCTCCGGAATGACATGCCGCTGTTTGTGCTGAGGCTGTGTCGCCCTCTGCTGGTCTCTGTTGAGCTGTGCAGGCATCTCACAGACATACATTTCTGTGTGTCCTCGTTAATACAGAGTGTGGAGCTCTTACCGGAGACTCCATCCTCTTCGTTTGGGATCTGCTGATGGTTGAAGCTGTCAGAGACATGGGCTGAAACACACATACACACACACACTTAAACACACAGAAACTCGAAGAATCAAACAGTTTGGACCGTTTGACATGTATGAGACAGAAACCTCTGTCTATGCTCAGTTAGCAAAAGTTGATAGCTTAGAACTTCATACAGATTTGTGTGTGTGTGTGTGTGTGTACCCGTGGAGTTGCTGTCAGGCTCTGGACGATGAAGACAACAGGGCTCGGGGCAGATTTGATCGTGTTGACCGCCTCCTCGTGACTGGCAGCTCGCAAGTCAACACCTGACACCTTCTCACACACACACACACACACACACACACACACACACACACACACACACACACAGTTGAAGGTCAGACATTATGAAAATCTTAATCATAAAACTGTTTTTACTTATAAAGTCTTTTCCTTCATAAATGGGTCGCTCTGAAAGATTCAGTCTCAGGCTGTGTGTAAACTATGGATGTAGTGCGCGTGTGTGTGTATAGAGACCCAGGAATTAGACAAGGCCCTACCTCCAGGATCTTGTCCCCGGTCTTCAGACAGTGGGTGTTGGCGGCGGGGCTGTTGGGTAAAACCTGCTTGATGAAAATTCCCTTCAGTTCCTCTCCATTCCTCAGTCGCTTGATGACATGGCGACCTCCAACGATGCTCAGACCCAGAGACTGACCCTCCTCAGGCCACACCTCCACCCTGCACAACAGCGAGGTTGGAAGTTTGAATAATGTACCAGTCTCTCTGGGTCACCTGACCTGTACACAGTCTCCTGGGATATCATAATGTACCTGTGTGTGTGTGGGTGTGTGTGTTACCTGCGGGGCGGTCCCCAGTGGCTGAAGGCAGGTGTTTCCTGTCCTTCCCCCTCCTCTCTTTCAGGCAAGTCGCTGTGAACACAGACCCACAGTCAAACACTACTTTTTGAAAGAAAGAAAATCGGGAAAGAAAGAAAATCGGGAAAATCGGGAACAGGTGAGATGCTGGGCCACAGACACACAGACACAACTTTAACCACATAAAGCAGCGATGATTCTAAACAGAAATGCACCCACACTTGAGGCGTCTACCTGTTTACATCTGTGTTCAAACCAGCAGAACGTGAAGCAGCTGTCCTACCTGTGGCCACTGATTGGCAGAGAGGATCCCCCCTGGCTCCGCCTCTTCCTCTTCGCAGTATCAATCCTCCTGACAGACCTCCAGGGGAAGAAAAACACAGACAGGAAGTTTCTGTGATTAAACTCTGAGGCTGGTTTGTGACCACAATGATCCAGATTAATCTAACGAGGCTGAGAGTGAGCGCCGGGTGCCCGCTGACCATATGTTATTAAAAACAGCAGGAAACAGTTGACTCATGGAGAAATCAGACTGCAGTTAGAGTGTGAGAGCAGCAGAGGGTGCCACAGCACTGTGACGGGACGTAAGAGGAGTTGATGGAGGAGAAAATGAGTGTGTGTGAGGTCTAAGCTTGTGAGCTGCGAACAGTTAGCAGGTTTCAGCACTGTGGGCAACTTTAACCTGGCAGGGAAGAGGACACCAGACGTTACTTGGGGCATGATTGAAGCTTCTGTTTCCAGAAAATCCGGCCTCTCTTAGCAGATACGGCTGTTTAAACACGACATACAGCACGATAACAGACCTCTGACTCTCTGAGCGAGTGTGTATGAGGAGGAAGAGTAACGGCGAGCGTGAAGGTGCAGCAGGAACTCACTCTGTGTCAGTGTCCGTGAGAGTCAGCTCAGAGTCTGCTTCGCTGTCTCTGGAGTCCGGAAGACCTGAAACACACACAAACATCTGTACTGCTATCACGGTGAGGACCTCATCCTCATCCTTCACCATGAACTGCAGAACCGCTGACCCTGATCTAGGTGAATTTTCTTTAAATGACATCCTGTTCCTATTCACCAGGTCATGAGATGGAAAAAAAAAAAAAAAGAGAGATCATGGATCTCGAGTCTAAATTATCTTAAACATGATTTAGACTCGTGCGCTCTCCTCTCACCCAGAATCAGCTTTCCCACAGACACAATGCTTTCATGGTCCGATCTCTGCAGGTCTTCCTCCTCCTGCATCTCTCTGCTCCAGGCCTGAGGACAAAAATCACCAAATAACTACAAATACATACAGAAGCAGAATGTCACGACTTTTGTTCTGACCTTCATCCGGTCACGCAGAAATCAGCCTTTAGAAAACATACGAATGTTAAACTGCTGAACTTTTCCCATTAAAAACATGCTGGAAATATTAATACCCAAAAATGAACAGTATGAAAGAAAATGGAGATAAGGTGTGTCTGAGCCTAAAACCACCTGAGTGCAGGTGGAGTCAGGAGAGCGTATGGTTCTCCAGCTCTTTCCCCTGTAAAAACAGTGCTTCTCAACTCGCCGTACCGCCAACGGGCAGTTCGGACACGTCAGCTCAATCGAGTTGTGCTTTAGAACAGTTTCTGGGTTTTTTGGGGCGTCGCTGCAGAGGCAGCACCACCCCCGGTCACGGAAACATGGGGGACCGTAGGCAGGGTAATGAGTTCTCGCCAATACCTCGCCACTTGCAGCCGTTCACTTCATGTTTTGTGTGAGCGAGTCAACGTCAATGAAACTTCCCCTTGCTCGTCAACTCACCTCATCTGCCCCCCCAGCTCGGGTAAGGGAGGCCAACTTCCACTCTTCCCAAGTTGGTGGGGGTTTCCCGGGGGCGGGGCTCACGCTGTCCTCCGGCTCTACCTCCTCTTCATCAACACCCATCTCCCTGAATTCCTCCTCTGGCCGGAGGTCAGAGGTCAGAGAGGAGGTGGCGTAGCGAGGGAGAGCATCCAGGATCAGCTCTGGCTCCTCCTCCTCCTCTTCCTCCTCCAGATGAAGGCTCTGTGGAAGGATGGCGGCCTCGCTGAAACCCTGAAACACAGACGGCAGCATTCAGAGACGAAGCTCCAGAGGAGAGAGCGCGTAATTAAGACAGAAATGACGACAGGAAGTCCAGGAGCTTCAAACTTCACCAGTGAGCTCAGGTTCACCATGTCTGAAGAATGTTCAGCCTCCAACGTGTCACGAGATGCATCGACAAACACACGGAGACATTTTTCACCTGGCAGCAGTGCAGAGACGTAATCAAATGCAATTGACTAAACAGTGTCATTAGCCATTTGCTCTGATTGGCTGTATTTGTGTCTGCTTGCGTTAGACGTGATTTTTATCATTCCTGTAAGCACTCAGCTTTGTTGGCCAGATCGCCTTTAAAAACATAGATTTGAATCTGAAAGGACTTTCTGGTTTCTCAGCTCGTTTCTGCTCTTTAATGGTTTCTTGTTTCTCACACCTGCTCAGAGGACAGGTGTGAGAAATAATGAAACACTCACAGCCGAGATGACTCCCGTGTCTGTGGAAAACAAACAAGATGACTCAATTTGGATTTCTGGAGGTCGTGAAGGACAAAAGGAGGCAGAAATCAGAATCTATCATGGTTCCCAGTGTTTCATGTGAAAGTGTGAGAGTGTCTCTTCAGCTCGCACTAAATCTAAAACTCGCCTGACTTTGGACATTAGCCTTCATCTCCAACTCCCCAAAGAGCCTCCTCAGCAGATACTGAGGGGATATCCTGTTCTTAACATTACGATGCAGACATTAGCCCGCGCCGGGAAATATTAATGACAACACTTAGGCTAATTTCCATCGACGAAGCCTCATCGTCAAGGACTCTGCTCCTCTTCTTTTAATTTGGGCCCGGGAAGCCGGCCCATCACGGCGTATAATGGAGGTGAGGAGTAGACGGCGGCAGCGGCAGAGAGCTCATAATGCTAACAGGATGTTCTGCAGACTGATGTGTATTGGCCGTGACTGCCTGGCCTCATATTCATAAGATTTAAAGACGCTGTCATTTAATATCTCTGCCATTAGACGATGAGGACGGAGCATCGCTGCAGCGTTGCGGTTCATGTGAGGATCCTCAACGACTGTCTTCACCGCCTCGCTGCAGCGACTGCAGAGTCACATGACTACACGACAATCCTCACAGGAAAGAAAAAAAACAAAAAAACCCAAAACAAAACAAAACAAAAAAAAACAAAAAAACCCAAAACAAAACAAAACAAAACAAAACTGCATCACTCCCACAGGAAACTCCACCAACAGCCATGTTTCTGCTGTGTGACAGAAACAAAGGTCAGAGGTCGCACCTAGGCTTAGTCTTTAATGATCCTCCTTCTGCAGCTGAAACAACCACAGCTGCAGTTCCCCTGACGTCCAGCAGAGGCAGTAGTGAGTCACTCCACATAGACTCCCACGTTTCCCTCCTCTTCATAACTGTGCAGGGGACGTTTTAGCTTTCTTGGGGCGTGGCCTCTGTGACTGACAGGTGGATGGAGACACAGGTGGCTGTAGCTGCTAGCTGTCTGCTAGCGTCACGTGAACTGGACCTCTGGACCGTCAAAATGACATAATCTGACCAATAACATGGCCGCTGTAAGGTTACTGTACTAACAGACCTTCAAACCTCACACAGCAGAGGAATTTAACCGGAAGTCCTGTAGACAAATCAAAGTCTGACAGGCTTCAGTTTTAAACCCAGAGCTTCTGAAGCTACTGCTGAAACGTTCAGAAATCCATTTGGCCAAAGTGGGCAGTAATCAGATTACTGCAGTGGAGACACTGAGCAGCGTGGTTTTACAGCCTTCTCAGTAAAATAAAGTGAAGCAGCAGTAAACTGGGTCTTGAGTGTCTTCTGGGTTCCTCCGGCTCGCTTTCTGTCGTACGCAGGCTTCAGCCGGCTGAACGCGCCGTGGCAGCTCTTTATCTGCACAAACAGGAGCAGAATGAAGTGAAACGACGGCAGTAGCTCGTTCTTGCACACCTGACCTCTAAAAGTTAACGAGGCGTGGGCGTGTAACGGGGTCTCTCTCTGGTCAGTGTGACAGAGAAGGATCCGGCAGCAAAGTGTAAGTGCCGACCCGGCCGTCTTTATGGAAACCCATCAGAGACCTGTGGGCTGTGAAAAAACCTCTTCAGCCAAATGGGCTGCATATAAAAGAGGAAATAAAACAGCGGCGCAGAGGACGGCGACAGCACAGGACACGAAGAAGAGCAGAACTCAGCAGAAATGGCAGAACAAAGACGAGCTCAGCGGGCTGATGCTTCACAGACACGTGTGCAGATATCAGAGGCTTCTGCTTTTCTTCAGCAAATCACAACCACCTGCTCAGGTACGGAGCAGTGACACGACAAATGCTCTGAAAATGAATCCACATGTTGCTAAACACACAAATCAGCAACTATAATAGGACGCCTACCCGCAAAGGTCAGCAGTTCGATTCCCGGCTCCCCCATCCTACTGCACGTGCGTGTGTGGATGCGTGCATGTGTGGGTGCATGCATGCATGCATGTGTGTGTATATATGTGTGTGTGTGACTGAATGAGGTTTGCAGTAAAAAGCGTGATACATGTATCAGTCCGTTTGACATGCATTAAAATGTATTTGATGGTGCTTCTGTAATTATTTATTTTAAGGTTGAACTCAGTCATCAATTTCTGTGTTTACTCATGAACACACAGTCCCCTCCGTTTATTTTCTTACTCCTTTTCTCAAGTTTTACATTAATTTTTGGAAAATTTTTCCCAAACTTTTTTCTGTGCTTCTACTCAGCAAAGACAGACTGAAAAAGAAATTCACTTTTGTTTTTAATATTTCACGTGTGTGAGGGTTCATTCATTTATTCACTGGATTATTTATTACTTTATTTGATTTTGACAGCTGCGATCATAATGATGTCACACTGTGATGTCACAAACTGCAGACAAAAACCGTAACAACGTCTCAGTTTCTGTAAAAATTATCTGTGCAAAGACAAACAGCTTGTATTCTTCTCTGTCTGCAGTATTAGTGAGTCGTAGTACTGCAGTACTACGTGTACAGATGCTGGAGGACCAGAGTGTCCTCAGAGTACCCCCCTCCACCCCTCCACTTAAGAGAGATGCTGCTGCTGGTTGAGCTGATGGAGCACTTTATACCATTCAACCATCCCGCTGAGTCAGCAGCTTCACAGAGACAGAGAGGAGGGAGAGGAGGGTGAAGGAAGGTGAAAGAGAGGAGAGGAGGAGGAGGAGGAGATGAAAGAGCAGCAAGAGAGAGAGAGAAAGATGTGGAGGAGATGATAGAGGAGAGGGGAGCATGGAGGTGAAGGCACAAGAGTGAAGAGCAGTGAGATGGAAGAAAGCAGGAAGAGGGAAGATGACGTCATGGCGGGTTATCAGCGCTGACGTCGAGCTCTCGGCTCGTTTCATGGACAGCTGAGCTCATGTACAAGGAGGAAGGTGCAGAAACATGACGGCCATTAAACATCCAAATGAAATCTGAGGAAAGAGAATCTCACTTTCTGTTGGCCCGACTCACTGCTCCCAGTATTGCACTGGGCTGATGACACACTCATTTTTATAAGTGTAAGGACCAAAGTCCTGTACTCTTCGCTCCCAGTTTCAGAGATGTTTTCAGCACATTTCACCACAGGAACGACCTCATAGCAGATTTTCCATCTTATTCGGATCCGATATGGAACCAGCCTCCGCACGTTCTGCTCACTGCAGAACGTCTGCACCTGTTTCTGATATTTAATAAAACCGTTTCATGGCTGAATGTTTCTGCTTTACAGACTTTATTATTTATCTGAGCAGCGCCTGTTAAATCTGCAGATTTCTGACTGCGATCAGAACATGCCAGTAAAATCTCATGATTTTTGAATGGAGTTTGGTGTAAAGTCCTGCAGCTGCTGCATCAGTGGCTGGTTTCAGGTGAGGTCCCTGCCCCCACCTTACACTTCATCTCAGAATATACTACTTTAAAGAAGTGAGCGTCCTGCGCACTCTGGTAACCAAATTTAAAAGCTCCTGATCAGAAATAATCAAAAAAAGGATCTTTTAAATTCAAACTCACTCCACTCAGTCTGAACAGAGCAGCCATTTCTCTTCATCCCCGTCACGCTCTACATATTTATTTACATTCATTCGGCCCTCGATTCATCTTTCTTTATGGTCAGATGCTCTGGCAGCGCCGTTCATCTGGTATCCAGACTAATAAAGCAAACTGAAGTGAAAGGAGAGCAGGAAGAAGAGATTAAGACAGAAAGATTTCCATTTGGAAGATGAACACAGATGGAGGGAGCAGAGCAGCGAGGGAGGAGGTGAGCGATGTGACGGGGGACAAAATCTTAATGTCCAATTAGTCTGGACAGATTAACGTTTCTAACAGAGACAGTCAGAGCCCACTTTATTAGGTACACCTGTAAAATCCATCACAGATCAAACTGTACAACCTTTATACTGAAACTATTTGCACTTTTCTTGTTCCCATGGCGTGCGTTCACGTGAAACGCGTTTCTAATTCAAGCGC